AGGTGGAGTACGTGACTCGCTTATCTACGTAACTCGCTTATTAACCACGTTAATAATTATTATTTATTAATATTAAAGTTAATAAACTTAATTAAATTAAGTAAGTTTAGAAAGATATATAAATTATAATATATATATGAATATTATATTAGTAAAATACTAGTAAGGTATTATATACTTTTATATATTTAGTAAAATAGTATTATATACCTAGTAATACTTTATAGAAACTTGGCTATATTTAACGGCGTTTATGCTATCCTGAGCTAGTGATCAGATACTATCCTACATTCGTTGTCTTTCGCTTTGCGATTTGTACCATCACCATCGTCCTTAAAGTAGCCGTATCCATTACTCGTTTGTGGCTCCTTCGAAAACGTACAGCTACGGTGCAACTGCAGTCTCAACGGTGCTGTCACACCGTGGTTTCCTCTTTCGGAACCGATTTGTAATTGATTCTCTCATATCGCGCAGGGAGACAGAGTCTTGCCAGTAGAGGAACGCGGACGGCAACAGTGCGAAAACACCGATCAGAATAAAGAAAGGGTTAGCAAATATTCTGTACAGGAAAAATCCAACTCCAACAAAGACAGCCAGGTACCAGACTATCAAGTGGCAAACAAGAAAAGTGCGCTGCAAGAAGGACTGTCCGCGCTTGCGCTCGGATGAAGAGCGTGCTGAAGTACCCCAGCCGGTTGTATGCATGGTCAGCATGGCGTAAATCTTGGAGGGCAACAAGCCAAAAAAATAGATGAAGCCATAGCAGCTGAAGAGGAGCAGCCATAAGTCTCCACTGAGAAGTACGCCGACGATAGACTTGAACAGGGCAACACTGAACATGGTGATGAGCCAAACAAAGAGCTGTTTGTCGTCGGAATGGGCCGTGTCAAAGAGGAAGCGGAAGACGGTGGCCGCCAGAACGAAAGGATATAGTGATTGAATGACGGTTTCGACGATCAACCATGGCGATTGATAGGCAAAGCTTATCGGGAACCAGAACGCCTCGCGATAGAATGATTTGCTCCATCGCGTCTGTTGGGCTACCCAACGCACGAATGTGGTGGGGGACTCGCTGTCGCACCAAGTGCGGTGTGTGTAGCGCGTTTTGAGACCGTGTGCCAACAGCTGGTTGGTGAGATGGCGGTCGTCGCCGAATGTTGTGGCCATGCCGCCGAAGGTTTGCAGATTCCATGGGCCAAGGATCGTGTCCAGATCGTAGGCACGGTACATGCTCATCGGCCCGGAGAGGCAGCCGACACAGCGCCATAGTGACTGGCAGGCACGCTCAATGTTGAAAGCGAACCAGTACCGTGCCGAGCACAGACGCGCAAGAAAGGACTGGGAGCGGTTCCATATCTTGACATCAGCCGTGACGCCTCCGATGTCCGGGTCAGAATCCAGCAGAGTGAGCATCTCATGCAAGCCATTGTCTTGGACCAGTGTGTCCGAGTCGGTTGTGAATATAGCGTCCCGAGTGCGCAGGGCGTACAGGGCCATTGCGAAACCGGTGAACATGGCTGTGCGCTTATGGCCATGGGGCTGACTGAAGCACACTGCATTCAGGGAGCGAATATTCCACTTGGTGTCCCATTCAGATACCTGCCGCATCACCGCACGATCTGCAACGGCCAACGCTGCGACATGACCGGGTTGATGGCGACCGATAAGTCGGCACCATAATCTGGCGACAAGGGGGCGGCCGTCTTCAGGCAAATTGTCGTAGTATGTGTTGCGGTGCACATCCGAGAGCAAAAGGGGCAGTTGGATGAGAGGAGCATTAGACTGCTCGAATTCGCTCACGAATGCGTTTGCCATGTTGAGATCTGGCTCCTCATTGCCGTCAACCACACTGATGACGCACTTTGGATGAACGGTCTGTTTCTGTAGGCTACGGAGGCATTGCCGCCATTCCTGCTCATCCTCGCGATATCCCACAACGACGATCGAGACTTCACTTTTGATAGAGCTCTGCGTCTGCCTTTCCGCCTTCTCACAGTCTTCAAGTCCTTGAGAAACCATCGATGCCGACTTGGCAATACGGTTGATATCGACGCGATTGGTAATGGCACAGAAAAGCTGTATAAGATACACAGTGACGAGCGCTACTCCGTAGAGACCTGCAGTAGTGACTTTGAGATCCAATATTTTCAACCCTGTGCAATAGCCCGCAACAAGAGCACCGATGAGTCCAAATGCTATGGTAATTTTGAATATGACGGCGATTGGATTGATTCGCAATTCTTTGCGCTGAGGCGAGCTGAAAACCTTCGTCTTTTCAGAAGTGTCTGCGTCTCTCGGGCATGACGATGCTGTACTGTTTGGCATTTGGCTGCTCATAGCTGGCGAGGTTGCTGCCACTCGCTGGGGAGCGCCGTTGTCTCTAGGTGTGGATAAACTGTTCTTGCTCATCCTGAAGATTTGTCGGCTTCTGTAACTGAATAGTTGCAAAGTTAGCTGCCCAGCAGAAGACTTGGAATGCATTCGTGTAAGAACTTACGCATTTAACAATGTAAGAGGCAATAACCAATATCGGGAAGTGAAAACCTGAAGTGACTGTGCTTCTAATTGTGTACGTATGCTACTGAGTAAAGAAACATTGTTCCCTTCTTTTTCATTCTCGCTCTATTGCTTTCTCCATTTGAGAAGGGGGGCGGTTTAATCACCGTCAACTATTTTCAATTATTGTCAAGTTGTATAACGGTAGATAATGCCACCGCCAGTTGGCTAAGAACAAGGCCCGCAGCTCATCTCAGGCACGAACCAAACCTACCCACTGATGCTCCATGTTCTGATGATCAGTTGCCACTGGCTGCTTGCAGACATGATAATAACCACCTTCAGATGAGACCAGGCTCGAACAATCTCATGCGATTATCATGTCAAGGGATGAATCCGGCGACGCCGGGGACGTCGGCGTAGTTCAATGGCACGATAAACTGCACTTCAAGGAGATATAGTTCCATAAACTATATAGTCTTGCACATCCTCATGGAGTTTGCATCAAACTCAGTCGTTATACTTTCTGCTTGGCATTAACCACCATACCCACAAACGTCGGACACCCACTTCCCGCACCACCCACTTCTCGGCAGCCTTTCCCTACTAAAAAAGGTAAAAATGTATAATTTCTAAAGTAGATTAATAAATATACTTTTTAAGTTAATTATATATAATAACTTACTTTATATATCTAATTTTTGATTTAAAGGTTTTATTTATAAACTTGATTATATAGATTTTTAAGATTATAAGAAATCTTTTATTAAGAAATCTTTTATTAAGAAACTTTATATTAGTAAGATTTTTTATTATCTTAAATAGTTTTACAAATAAAATATTTTATAGTTATAAAAATCTAATTAAAATATATAAAGTTTTTATTACACAAATAAGATTTATTCTTAAAATAAATAAATATTTTCTTAATTTTATTATTATATCTTTTTCTAAAAATACCTCTCTTTATATTTTCAATTAACTTTATAATTAGTAAATTATATCTAATAGTATTTTAATATATCAGCTTTTATTTAAAAGAGAATTATATATTTTTTTTATTTAACTTATAAAGAAATTTTATATAAAAAGTAAGGTTTATTAATGTTTTAATTTTTTTTAAAACAAAGATTACTTAACCTTTTATAATTCTTTAATTCTTTAGGTGATAGTAATATAATACGCCCTTTTAATAAATGCAATTTCGGTATATAAAGGTTCTGATAAACAGTCGATAACTATCCGTATATCTAATGCATACACCCACCCTCAGAGGTACGATATCTTCAAAACGGTGTTACGAACGAGTTGACGGTCTTGTGTGTGTGGCATCTACTGCTGTGGGCTTTTGCGGTTCTCCCGAAACATCATAGTAGGGCTATTATAGGTAGTTAAAAGTAGTATTTTAGCCTATTTTAATAGCGGGTGGTGCTGAGAAGTGGGCGACCGACGTTATACGAAGTATAGTGGAGCCCGTAGAATCCCATTATTACAACGGGTTTATATTGTTGGGGAAATCCACGGAAAACCTTTCTCGCAGGGCTTCAGCTGTAAAAGCCTCGTTTGATGTGTAGCCACCTTCATACTTTAAACACAGAGGTATATGTTCATATTACTATAACCATATAGTTCTTGAGAAGCTAGCGTTTAGCATGTATAACTCCATTCTCATTAACTTTCCTCGGAAGGTTATTAGATACCTGAGCAGAGAAACAAACTTGTAGGGCGTTTGCGCGTACCCCATGTAAAGCTACTTCCACCCTGCAATAGAAGGGAGGTAATTGGGCACCATTCCCCTGCACTGCTTGTCTACATGGCTGCAGAGAAGTAATCAGGAACGATGAAATTATCTACATTCTAGGCTACATGTACCAGATCCAGCTAGAAAGTCTCAAATTACCGTCAGCCTCGTAGAAGATACCAGTCTAGCATTATCGTGATACTCCTGCAAAGAATATGATAACTTTTCAGAAACTTGCTGATATTTGTTCTCTCATGGTTTCTCTTGGTCAAATTCGGCATGCGGGGAATTTCTTTCATTGCAGCTCCATAGCGAACACTTTGTGGAGGGACGGGTTAGTCAATACGAGTTGATGAACGCAGCATTCATTCCTAGAAGGCTAGAACCCGATGGTGCACGGGGGTGATACGCACACGCCGAGATTAACCCATAGATTATGGGCCACATGCAGCCGGTGCATTCTAGTCGCTTTCTCCACTCCAAGGGAATTAGACTTATACATTTACACTGTTATTGTTGCCTATTTCGTGATATCGGTGACGCAGTAAAGGTCATAAGTTATTGCATAGCTATCTCGCACTATAAAGTATGCGTCTAATGTGAGAGCACTTTTTCAACGGGAACCAACATTCGCCTTTGGCTTGCTGTCTGGAGGGTGCATTTCCAATTGATTTCTCTCTAGTAACAGCCTAGCAACGCTGGCACCATGACTTGTGAGCTTATTCAACAGGCTGACATGGCCAATGCTCCGAGTCTTGACGGAGCACAGCACAAGAGCGCCATGGCCGACGGCGAGTTCAAGGTGCAAAACATTTGCTGCGTCGGTGCCGGTTACGTCGGTAAGTATTCTACTGCTTGTTTCATGCCCCTCACTAGGCTTGGAATACAAAGACTCCCGAAAAGCTCATGGTCAGCTGATTGTGCTGTCCGACATAGGTGGCCCGACAGCTGCCGTTATAGCTTTCCAGAACCCTCGAATCAAGGTAACTGTTGCTGACCGCGACAGCGACCGAATCCTTCGCTGGCAATCGAGGCATCTTCCAATCTACGAGCCTGGGCTCCGTGACATTGTTCGAATTGCCCGCGATGGTAGTAGTTGCGACATGAGTTCTCGTCAGCGCACAACAGCCCATGCCGAGTCTTTTGCCAGCAACCAGGAGACACCCCTCGCTAAACGCTCCGCCAATTTGTTCTTCACCACAGACCTCGCAAGGAGCATCAGTGAGGCTGACGTTGTCTTGATTGCTGTCAATACACCGACCAAAGCTCATGGTATCGGTGCTGGCTGCGCTACCGACATGACGGCTTTCGAAGCCGTCACTTCAGTAGTAGCTCAGCATGCCCGCGAAGGTGCCATCATTGTGGAAAAAAGCACAGTGCCATGTCGCACGGCCCAGTTCATCGCCGAGACTGTGAGTGCGCATCTTGTTATTACTGTCGCGTTGGCTCGGACCGGCATATACTGACGACGGTGAATCAGCTTTCTATACATCGACCAGGTGCCCACTTTGAAATCTTGTCTAATCCAGAATTTCTAGCGGCAGGAACTGCGATTCAAGACTTGCTCTACCCTGACAGGGTCATCATCGGCTCCGCCCCAACGCTGTCAGGCAAGAAAGCTGCTGCGGCGCTGGCCAAGGTCTATGCCGCCTGGGTACCGCGCAAGCGCATTCTGACCACGGATGTCTGGTCTTCGGAGCTTTCCAAGTTGGTGGCAAACTCCATGCTTGCCCAGCGCATCTCTAGCATAAATTCGATTGCCGCGATTTGCGAGCAGGTAGGCGCCGATGTTGACGAGGTTGCCCGCGCTGTTGGAATCGACCCGCGCATCGGTAATAAATTCCTGGTCGCCGGCATCGGTTTTGGCGGCAGCTGCTTCAAAAAGGATATTCTCAACCTAGTTTACCTTGCTGAAAGCCTAGGTTTGCCGGAAGTGGGCAGCTACTGGTCACAGGTTGTGGAGATGAACAACTTTGCCCGCGAACGCTTCACTAGCCGTATCATCAAGTGCCTGAACAACACTTTGAGGGGCAAAAAAATTTCCATCTTAGGCTTTGCATTCAAGAAGAACACTTCGGATACTCGTGAAGCGCCTGCCCTGGAAATGATGAAGACACTTCTCAAAGAGAGGCCAGACGAGATTGGCGTGTTTGACCCTTGCTGCAATCCATCTGTTCTCACAAAAGAAATCACGGCTATACTAGGCCCTCTTTCAGACGCCAACGTTGTCGTCTATGGAAATGCTTACGACGCTTGCCGCGGCGCTACTGCTCTTGTCATTGCAACCGATTTTGATGAGTTTCGCCACTGCGCTCCTTCAAAGCCGACGGCCATGGCAGACGGTCAAAATGGCTTCGATTGCGCCACAAAGCCGACTTCAGACCTATGCCCACTCAGCGATCGATCCGCAAGGTCTGGTCACCTGAAGTCGCATTGCAGCATGGCCCAATGTACAACAAGAATGCCCAAAGGCTTCTCTACCATCTTCAACGACGAGCCTCCGTGCCCACAGAATTGCCCAGAATGTATCAGTATACGTGGGGATGAAAACGAGCACATTGGGGACACTACGAAAATGCGCGGCGGACCAAGGTACAAACCAAAGAACGGGGACCGGCTGAACTGGGCAAGGATTGCCAGCACGTTGGTTAAGCCTAGTTGGGTGTTTGATGGGCGAGGTGTTGTTGATTCGAATGAACTGAAGAAGCTTGGTATCCGTGTAGAGAGTATTGGCCGCTCAGAGAGAATATAGCTATATCCTAGAGTAAGGGGGGTCCGGCGCTAAGGTATGTCAATTCTATAGACTAGCTCTCAGCAATTAGTTACGATTAGTGAGTTAGCTAACTAGAGGCGTAGTTAATAAGTGACTAATAGGAATAAGGCGTTTTAGGCAACATAATTCTATTATATTAATATCTATATAAGAGAAATGACCTTAAAAAAAAAAGGTACTGTGATGTTTGTAAAAGCCCACAGCGTTACATGCCGTATATAAGCGCGTCTCGTCAGCTACAACACAAATAAAGTTATTATCCCTCCAAGGGTGTATATATATGTGTTTATTATAATTATATAGTAATAATCTAAAACATCTTTCCTTTAGAATTATCAAATCCTATATAAAGTAAATTAAAGGATATAATAGAGTTAAGAGTTATTATAAGGGGTAATATTTTAGGGGTAAAAATGGGTACTTTTTCCCCTACTTGATTTATAATTGGTGACTAGCGTCACGGCACCTTATTGTTGGCCGTGGCCCACATACCCTTCTACAGCTACGGCTTTCGTTCTAGTCGGTACGGCATTATAGTAGGCCTCGGGGTAAATCTAGCTAATTATCGTTCCTAAGGGGGCCAGACGTCCCGTAAAGTTCTGGATCGCAGTCTAAAATCTCTTGAAATCGGCTAGGTCGTCTGCTTTTTCTACCTCGTGTGCCTCCCCTTTTGGAGGCAGCTCGACTTACTTGGACTGAACCGTGCAGTCATCTTCTCCCATGCCATACTTCTTCTTCAGACTTGAAACTGCCAATTTGCCTAATCCCTCAATGGTGCCCGCCTTCATAATCTCCACTGCTGTTGTTTCCAGTCCCAGTGTCCTCCGCCACCAGTTACGAATCTCGATGCTGACCAGTGAATCCACGCCGATAGATTCAAGGGTTGCGTGGATATTCATTTCATCCTCAGGCAACGACAAATATTCAAATAGAGTGCTGCCAATCTCCAAAGATGCTCGTTCCACGATGTCATCAGCGTACAGCACGGATGGGTCATGCTCAATTTGCTGAAGTAATTCGCGAAGCTTCTCGTCTCTTTTCCGTTCCTTTTGTTCCGCTTCAGCTGCAAGACTGACATATTTACTGAATCTTACATCACCCATGAATAAGCGCATGTTTAGAGGTTCAGAGGATGATCGGAGGGATCCAAGGCCAACGGCGAGCTGAGGCGTCCAGGTAAACCCACCCACGCCTGGAAGAATTGTCGGTTTCGTTGGCGTAGACCTGTGCAACCCGATTTCGATGGCCTCCATCAGGTGGTGTTCATGAAGAAGAAACATGCCTGCCGATTTGAACTGGCTCATTTTGTTGGCGTTACCAGCAAGGAAGCCGATGCCTTGCATTCCTCCGAGGTCAATGACGGAGCAAGGGAGCCCTAGTTGTTGACGATAGTGGCAAAAAGAGTCGAGGAATGAGTTTGCAGAGGCATAGTTCCCCTGACCGGGCTGTCCAACGAGGCCGGCAACGGACCCCATCAGAATAAAGAAATCAAGCTTGGTGTTGTTGGTAAGAAGAGCATTGTGAAGGTTCCAGGTTCCCTTGACCTTGGGCTCTTGTACAGCTTGCCAATCTTGATATGACATTTCAAGCAGGGGACGGTCCTACAGGAAACTCGGTAAGCTTCGGCACTCATAGCTTTTCACTAGCGACCTCTTGACACGCACCTTGAGCACCATGGAAAGCTGCAGCACACCCCCGATGAGGGTTGGCGACTCGGCAATAGCCCTCTCAACGTCGTCCATTTTGGAGGCATCCCCCGCTATGGCCGTAATTCTACATCCTTGAGACTGTAGTTCTTGGATGAATGTCGCATGTTTGTCGCTGGCGGCAGATGGCGACAAAAAGCAAAGGCTTCTAGCGCCTTTTTCGACCATCCAACGGGCCACTTCTTTGCCAAGACCTCCGAGACCTCCAATCACAAGATAGGTCGCCTCGTCGGAGAATAATATTGACGTCTCAGAGGTTACGGCTGGTATTTGTGACGCGTCTTCTGGAAGGGCTACAACGAGCTTGCCCATATGATGGCCCTTTTGCATGTACTTGAGTGCTTCAGAAATCTGCTGGGGACCAAATGTGCGAATGGGCCGGATGGGTTGGAAAGATTCCTTGAATTCTGGGCTAGAGCATTTCTCCATCAATCTATCAAAGTGTTTTGGTTAGCTGATCCATATACGCTACGATGCAAAGCAAAGGTGGCTTACTCGATAATTTCATCCTCGTCCATGGCAGACAGATCAATACCACGATAAGTTCGGTTGCCTTGGAACATGTCCATTGCAAGTCTTCCGTGCTCCAGCATATCTCGTTTTCCAATGTCCAGCATTTGGCCCGACTTGGCCACACACCGCCACGATGCCTGAAGAAGATCACCCGCCAAGGAGTTTAGTACAAGGTCAACGCCTCTACCACCAGTCCTATCCATGACATGATTGAAGAAAGAGTCGTTTCTCGAATCAAAAATGTGTTGGCCGGGAATTCCATGCTCTGCCATGAGAAATTCGACTTTTTCCTCTGTTCCAGCAGTAACGTAGATCTAGGCAGGTGTTAGAGCAGCATATGTATATATATATATATATATATAGATAAATATTGAGTTCCGGGGGGCACAAACTCACTGTGGCACCGATTGCTTTACAGATATTGATGGCGGCTTGACCAACGCCGCCAGCTGCGGAATGGATCAAGATAGACTCGTGCGTGTTAGTAAAATGATCAAGCTTCACCTACCACACTGTCCAACTTCCTTACCTGTCCCTTTTTGAGGCGGCCCAGGTTCACAATCGCGTGCATCGCTGTCGCATATACCACGGGCAATGTAGCGGCCTGTTCAAGTGTAATAGTTTTTGGGATACGCATGACAGCTTTGATGGGAAATACTTGGCGTGTTCTGATCAAACCTGAGCCAATGGTGCAAACATGGTCTCCAACATTCAAAGCATGGACGGCTGATCCCTTGGCAACAATGATGCCACTACATTCGAGACCGAGAGCATCCTTTTCGCCAGGAACAATGCCCAAGGTTGTAAGAAGATCCTGTAAGAGGCAGCAGCTATATTAGGACGGGGCCAATTGTTGCACAAAGATTAGACCAATGATGCACGACGTACCTTGAAGTTCAACCCGGCGAAACAAATGTCAACTTGGACTTGGTCGGGTGCAAGTTCCTTTGTCCGTTGGTGTGACACCCAGTGAAGCGAGTCGACGGATCCATGTTGCCCAATGACTAGCTGCTTGGGATATTCATGCCCAGACAGCAGTTGAAGCTCTGTCTGTGTCGATAGCCAGCGGAAGCGAGGCACGTACACAATACCATTCTGACGGATGGCATATTCGGAATCCAGACTGCGATCCATCGGCGTGCGTTGGCAAAACTTGCGGGCCAGTCTCGAAACCGAATCCAACGATGTGCCATCCAAAGCTTCCGTCTCAGTTATCCAGCACTCTATTCCGACTTCCACGCGGACGCATCGCAGCAACCCTGTACTGGCGCCATAGCCAGGATCAGTGCAGCCAAACTGCGCCGGTCGAGTCAGCCAGAGTATTCCGCGGCCGTGTTGGGAAATGAGTCGAATGAAATGTTGGTAGTCTGTTTCAGAGATGTTGTCAACAAAGGGTCCTTCTAGCTCCATGGTAGAAATAATGTCACGACCGCCGCTCAACCCCAGCAATGTCCCATTCTCTTCTTGGGAATCCAATTGCACCCAGTGCACCTCATGTCCCATCAACTCCATCTTGTCTGCCAGTTGACGAGCAAAATCATGCCTGAATTGCCTGTAGAGAAACGTCAATTCCTGCGGGCTTTTGGTCTCGGCAACAGCAGTGCTTGCCATGTGAGCGGCGAGGGTGTACGGGGCGTCATCGTCGAGCTTGACAACATCTGTGCCACTGAATCCGGCGGCCAGGAGCTCTGTATGCCATCTTTCAACAGATACCAGCGGTCCCTCCTCCCTTGTGTCTTCCTTGTCATCCCACCAACCCGGTAGAAGACCCTGCCATGCGTAGGCGAGAAGTTAGTAATATGCTTCAAGAGAGAGGGGGATGAGAAGAAGATGATGATGAACATACCGTGAGAAGGGGTATGTTTCGCCAAGTGACGGCTGTAATACATGATGCGTTAATTGAACGTCCTCAAGAAGACGCGAGTTTGGTATCTGAACACTTACGGGTTACTAGTTCCTGAAGAATAAATCTCCCTCGAGGTTTCAACAGTGATCGAACGTGGATCAGGGATCTTTGGAGAGAAGGTGTCGCATGCAATACCTAGAAAAGAGCGTTAGTACCACCGCATACCCCTTTACCTCTTTTTCAAGAATTCATCTTACATTGGACGCAATAATCAGATCAAACGACCGCAACTCGAAGCCCTGCGAAGATGGCTCACTTCCAATATCAAGCACCTTGTACTGAATAGCATCCCACTCAGCAAATCGCTCTTTGGCCTTGACAAAATAGCCACTCGAGACGTCAGAAAAGATGTATTGAGAGTATTGTCGCGTTCCATCTTCCGCCATCAGACCCCGCAACACGACTTCTGTAGCTGCTCCTGAACCCGCGCCAATCTCTAGGACAGACATGGTTGGCTTGGAATGAGCGAGCAATGCAAGGTAATCATTTGGTGAAACCAAGCTCTGGGAATAATTATACAAGCTCTCCAAGCCCTTGTCTTGCAGGCATACTTCCAAGGCAGATACCTTGCTTGTGAAGATTGCTCTGATATTCTCGCTGTCGGCGAGCCTGCGATACATGTTTGTCACGGCTTGTTTGGTTTCATCATCGCCTGCGAGTTCCTTGAACAGGGAATCGAGAATTTGCAACTTTTCTTGGCATGTTTTGGAAGTCAAGTTTCTGAGTTCTTCGTCTTGCATGTACGTGCTCCTCTCATTCTTCAACCAATGGATGTACTTGGGGAGAGTTCCTGGCGTTTCTGCAGCGTCAATGCCGAGCGATTCCAGCTCGTGGAGCATTCGATCAACGATGATTGCGGTGGCACGATGGAGAAGTCTACGACTCATCCTGCCGTTGCCATTCGTTCTGACAAAATCGATGTTGTCGTAGAAATCCAGATCTGGAAGCCACTCTATCCGCGCCGCGTGCATATTTTCCTTGTTCTGTAAATGTCCACTGTGGAACGGTAGAACCCGTCCGCCAAGCAGCTCCAAGACTGTCTTTCCCGTGTCTTTGGATATAGCAAATGCCTTTCCAGTTCCACTGCCTGCTGTATCTGACATGGCATCGAGGAGAAGCTCCCGTTGACCAGGGCGCACTGTAATGTGGTTCAGTTGCACGGGTACAGCGAGAGTATCAATCTTTCGTCCGATTCCTCTGCAGGCCGCCAAGCCAATCAGTTGAATGGCGCAATCAATGGTGATTGGGTGCAGAGTGTAAATCGCTTCTTCCTTGTCCGTCGTGTCTGTTATAGTAGCAACCGCATGTTGTTCATGGGTCGCTGTCGTAAAATTGCGGAGTGCCCTAAAACGCGGGCCGTAGGAGAAACCAATGTAGTTGAGCCGGTCATAAAAGTAATTTTCATGCAAATGCCTCTGCAAGGGCACAATCTTGTTTCGCACGTGGTTGGCATCCTCGCTGTACTTTGTTGCCTTGCCAAGGGCTGTGCAGTGCTCAACCCAGGTATCAGCCATAAAGGAGCAAATGGAGAATTCATACAAAGTGGATGAATTGGTGAGCCCAGAAAGTCTAAACGGCCGCATGGTTGTCATGACTTCCACAGCATCGGCATCCGGCACCATCAAGGCTGCTTTGGCAATGAGATTTTCCAAAACGTATGCTTCCGAGCCAAGCAATTGTCGTATTGCTTCACCCATCATGGCAACATAACCTGCCACCGGGAACACAACGTCTGTCCCTAGCATATGATCCTTGAGCCAAGAAATATCATATACATGAAAGACATTCCTCCACGTGGCATCAAACCCCGATGGCGCCGCGCATCGCGTGCCGAGCAGCTCGTGGTGCGGGAACTGGCGCATTCTCCATCCCTTGGAAAGGCGACTCTCTTTCCACAAGTCATCTTTGCGATCCCAAGAATAGCGTGGCAGATCCGTCACCACAGTTCCCGCAGGAAGAATAAATGAAAAATCGATATCATGACCAATTGTGTGAAGCTGGCCCAGGGTGGTCAGAATTGCATCATCTGCCGGCTTACCTCTTGCAAGTGTGCCAAGGTATGTCATGGAAGAACGAGATTCCGATTCCAAAATTTGACGCACTGGACCCTGGAGAGCAGGATGCGGTCCGATTTCCAATAATGTGCTCACTTCAGGAAGTTCACTCAGGAGCTGCCGTGTAGCAGAATAGAAGAGGACGGGACAAGACAAGTTGCTTTTCCAATACAATGGTCCAAGCTCAATTGGCGAGTCAACAAGTTTTCCATGCACAGATGAGTAAAATGGACACTTCCAGTCCTTCCCGTCCTTGCAGCCTGCGAGGTGTGGTTTCAGCATCTGCTCGTATTCAGCAGCAATTGTGCGCATAAGAACTGTGTCGTGTTAGTTAGTGTACGTCTCAGGCCAATATGAGGGTATTCTTACAGGAATGATACGCAACATGGACTTTCAGTTTGCGCATAAAAGTTTCCTTGTTTGCCGTCTCTATAGCCTGCATAGTTGTGCTTACAGCTCCAGGATCGCCCGAGATGGTCACATTGTCAGGGCTGTTCTCACAGGCAATTTGCACACCGTCTACGAGATGAGATGCAACACGATCCCGTCCCAGACCAATGGAAGCCATACTCCCGGGAATTTTGAGCTTCGTGGTCGCAAGTCCTCTAAAGTAGGCGCATAGAATAGCCTCGGAGTAAGTTATTCCCCCTGCTGCGTAGGCGGCAGCGATTTCGCCGCTAGAATGACCGACAACGGCGCTCGGCTTGATGCCGCAGTTGGATAGGAGGTTCACCAAGCCTATTTGGATGGCAGTACAAAGAGGTTGTGCAAATTCAGCACTGTCAAAATACTCTTTGTCCGCGCCGTTGTCCTCACTATACAAAAGATCTATGAAAAGTTAGTTTTGGCTCAACTATGAGCGCATATTTCAACGACTTTACCTTCCAATGTCCAGTCTGGTACCGTAGCAAGTTCTTGTAAAACTCTATCCATATTCTTGATGTCCTCGAGGAAAGAGGCAGAAGAGCGGACAAGTTCCTTACCCATACCAAACCACTGCGCGCCCTGCCCGGTAAAGACATACGCAATCTTTTTGTCTTGGTCTTTTGAAGAAATGGCCTTTTTTGCGATGCTAAACTCTGGTGACTCGGTAGCCTTGCTGTTGTGATAAATGGCAAACGCTCTATGAGATAGGTGTGCTACCCGCATTCCCAGAGTGTAGGCGATGTCATCTATTGAAGCCGTCGAACTCGGCACGTAATCCTTGAACAGGGAAACTCGCTCCTTGAGTGACTTTTCACTACGCGCAGAGAGAAGAATGAGGCGTGGAAACTCCTACAAGAGGTTCATAACACAATCAGCAGCTAGCACGCGGTGCAATTTTGTTCGATATCCTTACCTTTGGAGAAACAGAGTCGCAGTCGGAGGTTTTTGACGAGGGGCCGGTAGACAGACTAGCATTCAAACTGTCTCCCGAGTCGGCCACGGTCTCGTTGAGACTATTAGCGTCCGAACTGCCACCGTCTTCACTGGTAGCGCAATAACCGATTCCAAACGAGGCAGCAGAGTCCAGGATAACCTGATAGAGAGTCCAGGTCAATAACGTGTTGATTCATCAAGTATAAAACACGCCCACTCACATGACCATTGGCACCGCCGAATCCAAAAGCGCTGACGCTGATTCTCTCACGTCGGTCTGCCGGCCAAGGAATCGGATCAACCGGTACTTGAAGGTTATACTTTTGAAACAAAACTATCACGTTTCCATGTTGGGATCTAAATCAGGAGAATCTCACTTGGGCTTTGACTTACTATTTGGGTTTGGCGTTTCAAAGTTGATATTTGGTGGAATTACCTTGTTCTCCAGTGCTAGGACACACTTGATGATGCTGGTCAAGGCTGCTGCTCCCTCTCCATGCCCCAGATTTGGCTTGACCTATGATGCCATCTGTCAGGACGCATTTCTTGCATGGAAGATTGAATCTTGCCTCACTTACTGAACCGATATAGGTGCCACGGTTACCAAAGGCCTTTCCCACTGCCGTCGTTTCAATGGGATCACCCTTCATAGTACCCGTTCCATGGCACTCGACAAACGGCGTCATTGAGCGGTCGCCAATGCCTGCCAATTTATAGGCTCTATCTATCATGGATATCTGCGCCTCGGCACTAGGAGTGCCCACATGTTGCGTCTGGCCGTCCGAGTTGATGGCTGTAGAGCGAATGACTGCTCTAATTGGATCTCCATCCCGCATCGCAGCTTCCAAGGGCTTGAGTAGTACGGCATTGGTGGCTTCTCCGCGCGCAAATCCGTCGGCAGCGGCGTCAAATGTTTTGCATCGACCGTCCGAAGCAAGCACGCCTTGTCCAGACATGTCCAAGGTCATGGATGGATCCATGATGAGACTGGATCCTACTACCATGGCTGTTGAGCAATCGCCATTGCGGAGTGATTGACAAGCAATATGAAGACCCGAAAGAGACGACGAACAGGCCGTGCGAATTGTCATGCTAAAGGATGGACCATGGTCATTATCTCAATTCGACCACTTCGGGAACACAATCTGTCATTGTCATTACCTCGGGCCCCTGAAGTCGTACTGGTAGGACAGTACGTTGGACAGTCCATAATCCCCTGCACTCAGCACTCTGTACGTATTTGGCATCAGATCATCTCGATGCAGCATGTTGTGCCAGTCTTCTCCAAACACGCCTGCAAAGACTCCAGTATTGGATCCCACAAGCTTGTGAGTCTGCCCAGCGCTCTCCATGCACTCCCAAGCAACTTCTAGCAACAACCTCAACTGAGGATCCAAAACATTCACTTCAGCGTGCTTCATGGAGAAGAATGATGTATCCACGCTGGAAAGCTTGCTTTGGAGAAAGTAGCCATACTCTGTGGCTACTGACTGGGTCTGCGTTTTGCCGCCACCAAAGCCGTCAACATTGTATCTCGTCAGCGGAACCTTGCATCTACCGTTCTTCTTATTGATGAGGAGATCCCAGAACTCGCCGTCTGTCGAAATACCACCCGGTAAGCGAAAGCCCATTCCAATAATGGCAATCGATTTTTCGGACTCGTGCGTAACGTCCATAGTTGACCAGCGTTTTCCTTGTCGTGGTTGATTGGGCGGCGTGCGAATACCAAGTGTAGATTACAATCTGTAGGATACAAAATCACAGTGTCAAAATTGTATTCACATGCGTTGTCCTCTCGGAAACAAAAAGTCTTTAGAATAAATTACTCGTCCTTTGAACAAAAGACATGCATTCGCTGGCTCATCACCTGACCATCACCACTAACACAGAAACACCCTTATTCAGTCAAGTATGACATTGTTTCACTGAGAGACACGGTGACAAACACCGGATGTTATACTCCATACTTTGATCACGGCTCTGTGGAATGATGCAAAGAAGATATGCATTTTGTTTTTGAAATCGGAATGTAAACAAATCAGTAGTGAATTTCTTTTTGCAGCATTCTATAATTATTTAGTCTTGGTGTAATTTTACTTTACATCTATTGTTCATTCAGGAATTTTTATGCCTGTAATGAAACATTTGGATTGTCAATCAATATCAGACGTCTTGCGTGGCCACCGCGCACTTGATTTGAGACCATGCGCATCACCACGCCGGATAAATAGTCTCCCCCCCATCAGGCCCCTGAAAATATTGTATCCAGCTCAGTCGTAGTCATCCCAGTTGCCAAAAATCGCCTTTCTTTCATCACCACTTCAACTCTTGCCATGGAGAGCGCAACCCCTCCCACAGCAGCCGCAGGTAGGGAAGACGGACATGGCAGCGTTGTTGCAGCTCCTTGGTGTTGGAAAACCACTCGGATGGAATCAATGAAGTCTACCTGGCGTACTCAAAACCGGTCTGGCTGGACGCTGTACCACTGGTTCTACGAATTGCTCAATATTCACTCCACCGAGCTCGGCAGGCCTGTGCCTGTGCACAGTAAACAAGCCGCGGTGCCCTATCTCTCCAACTGGACGTTTCTTGGCTTCATCATGATACACGGAATGGCTCCTATGATTGTGCAACACCTTTACACGGCGTGGAACGGCAATTCTCTGGGGTTCTGGAAGGCCATGGTGCTATACAATCTTTGCATGGCTCTCACCGCAATCAGAGGGCAGCACATACTGCGTAACCTCGGCCATCAGCTCGGATTTTTTGACGGTGAAGATTTTCGGCGTCAGAGTGTACCAGACACTGGCATTCAAAGAGCCTTTGTCGGAATCAATGCCATGCTGACTGGACGCAGCTCGCTCCTCGTGCTGCTTGCCTATTCAAACTCACACGCTCCTGCGGATGTAGCCTGGCATTGGCTGCCCTTTAAGATGGTCACTTATACCATGGTACTTGACACATGGTTCTATTGGTCGCATCGCGCCATGCACCAGATTCCTTGTCTACGAAGGCATCACAAAAGACACCACCAGGCTCACCATCCCGAATCGCTCTTGTCTGGGTTTGCCGATTATGAGCAGATGATGATGGAGTTTGTGCTCTTCCCGGCCATGTGCTACTACACAATCAATAACATCGGGTTATCATTGAGCTTTTACGAATGGTGGGTGTGCAATCTTCAAGTTTTCCTTGCCGAGACAGGCGGACATAGTGGTGTTAGGATGCATGCCTCGATTCCCAGTATTTTTGATCCCATTTTCCGCTTGTTAGGCTGCGACCATTGTATCGAGGATCACGATATTCATCATCGAGCTGGATGGAAAGATAGTGGTAACTTTGGATCTCAAACAGGAATATGGGACGCCCTGTGCGGAACACGCAAGGAGCGCATTGAAGGCAAAAGCGGCAACATAGATTGGAACAATCCGGTCAAATGGCCTCTAGTGTAACAACATTGAACCTGCTCCATTCAATGAATTACATCTCCCTCAACCTATGTGTGCCCTATATGGTCCCAATAGCATGCTACGTGACTGTCACCCAAGGAATGTGAATAATTGTGCGCCTAAATGGTACAAAACAACTCAAGGCATGTCTCAGACGTTGACCGACTGGAGACGCATTAGTAGTTGATTTACACGGGCTCCATGCCAACATTGCATGCCTTTCCCATTGCTTACCTTGCCCTCATCAAGGGCAGCCAAAGCTACAACAAAGGGGCACAAGGAGGAGACATAAGAGAGAAGCATTACCCTACCACCATCCACTTGGCAGTACCGCATTGCTGTCATCACTCACTCTCAATTTCTTTTTTTAAATCGCTCAGATTCTTTTTCCAACACCACCAAATCATCCCAAGATGAAGTTCTCTCTTGTTGGCATCGCCCTTGTCGTCGCCACGGCGACAGCAGATCCTCACACGATCAACGCAATAAAGGACATGATGAAAGAAACTGTCGCCTACCGCAAGTCCATTAACGAATGGAACGGCAGCTACATGGGGGGCCTATTACTTCTCAAGCAAACCCGCGATCTCGTCAACAAGATGCGGGCCGTAGAAGCCGCTACGCCCAAAAAGCGGGACATTGAGCAGCAGCCTTCCCCAGAAATGACTGCCATGTTGGTCAAGGAAGGCTTCGGAAACGCGCATGAACTTGTGGGGGAGATTGGTGCTTCAGTTGATGACGCCATCGCCAAGAAGCAGCAATTTCATGCCATTCCCGTCGTCGGCAAACGAATGGCCTTGTCCAACATGGAAAGTCTGCGTTCAGCCGCATCCGACTTGTCCAAGGTGTTTGCTGCCGCGGGCGACGATGAAGGTCGAGCTGAAGAAACAGCCAACCTTCTTAGTGTTATGGATAAACACTTTGAAAGAGGCATAGCTGCCATGAAGGATGAGCTTTAGAGATGCAACCATGTATTGTGAATGAACAAGCAACTCGTCTCCATAATTTTGGACCTGTCGCGATACGTAGTTGTATTTCAGTGAACATTAATAGCCCTCTTTGGCAAGGCTTTATAGTTGGCAGTTTATGCTGTTTTGGGACCGACAACAAGATCTTGTCCAAATTCCTTGCAAGTCTACCGCTTTACCTGTGGTATCCTATCATGCACATAGCTAAAGAAAAAAAGAAAAAAAAGACATATAGCCAGGATACTCAACTGTTCTTTATACTTGATTGCCTCTTGCGTGATCCGAAAGTATCGCTGGTAGCCTTGGTCAACCATTGAATGCTCGAGCTCGGCCCTAGTGAATGATGGCGTTCTGTCATGAGGTACCTTGAAGTTTTCGCGCCATCCTCGCATGATAGATCGTAGCCTCTAGCATGTCTTTTTTTGTTCTTCTTTTTTTTTTTTTTTTTTCTTTTTTCTTCTTCTTCTTTTTTGTTACGCAAAACAACCGCAATTCTCTAATATGCCTGCCCAGTCAATCAGGTACGCGACCGATGATGCATAGTGCGCTGATCGGGATGCGCCATTGGCGGGGAATTTCAGTTACCCGGTGCATGCCCATGAGTTTGGCAAACTGCAAGCCACGTTGAGATCTTCCAAGTCTGATACAATCAAAGCAAATCTTGGCCAAAACTTGGCCTCTTGCCAGATGCAATTGTGGATGGCAAGGGTTCGCATCGATGCCGTGGTGACGAAGTCATGATGTAATGCGAGCTAAGCTGCCGAGTATTTCTATGGAGCTCACCTTTTGCAACATAATCCTATTTAAGAGCTGCCTGTCTTTTTTTGCAAAACTGACATATTCAGACGCTCTACTGATCCAGCAGCTATTCACTTGTTGATTTTATATCACTTCGAAAATGACGTCCTCTGAGCACAACGAGCCCTTTGAGGAGGGCAAGGAAAACTCCCACAGCCAGATTGATCCCAGTGCGTTACCTCGAAGCCAAACCGACCTTTACACCCAGTAACACTAACCTTTTTACTCAGAGGACCAGCGTTCCATTGCCAACAGACTTGCCGCGGAAACGGTGCGCATCCTCCGCATTGTCCGATCCTGAATCCACCCGACTAATACCACTTGTAGCAAGCTACCGAGGACAAGGAAGACCCTGAAGTGACGAGAATGAAGGAGGACCCTACAGCTCCGGTAAGTAATCCAAAGTCTTGTTTTTGAGATGAGAGTATGTAAGCTGACTGCTCAATTGAACATTAGGCCAGGGAGCACGGCAACGAGCCCTCCAGAGGCGCCAAGATTGACGCTCAAATCCAGAAAGAGGAGCAGGCTGAGCTGGAACGCAAGGGCAAGGCATAAAGGCGTTATTGCAGCGATGAATAAAACTTGATAAAAATGTTGAATCGGAAATAACATCTTGTCTGCCACTGTGTGATACGTGAAATTCGTGCCTGGACTACACATGCCGTCGGGGCGTGGTGCGGAGGGGGTTGCCGGCTAACGGAGGCGACAGCCGCATCGACAGTTAGTCGTTCTCTTTGACCTTGGAGGATATGATTGGGTTGTATTTGACCTGCAACTGACTAAATGACCTAGTTTGTTGTATATTCGATCTGTGTGGCTTCTTGACTTTACGAACATAGGTCGGGATAGCTATGTCGGTTACTTAGTTCACGACCAGAAGTATGTTACAAGCATGCTGTGGTCTCGGTGAACAATACACCTCTTCCTCTTTGAATTTCTTGTTTCAGTTGTTCTGGTAGTTCATCTTTCTTGATTATTTGTTTTTCTAAAGTTCCTCCTGATGCTCGATTTTGGCTCGCCGGCTTTTTCCGCTACCCCGTGGTGACTATCATCGCGCAATGTTGTCGCAACTCTTCACATGCCCTCAACCCTACCAAAACAGTCTGTGGATCTAACGATACGAATAAACTATTCCGAGCCGGGCTTGCCTGATGCATGTAGCCACTTAAAGGGGGTTGAATTGAAATGCCAGGTCCACACTGGGCTGACCCCTTAGCCTGTGCCTTGGTAGCATCATCCATGTCGAATGGTTCCACACTACAGATTAAATGCATAGACAATCTGAAGAGCAGCAATGCATGAATGCAAGAAGAAAATAATGTAGTATTTACTAGTTAATTGATTGCAACTTGACATGAGCGAGAAAGCAGGACACGGTGTCGATACTTACCGAGAGTCATGCTAGGACAAGAGTCTGTCCAACAACGTCAACCTTTCCCTCCCCTCCCCCCTATCTCAACATCATGCTAGAATTTTTGAAAGCAGAAAAAAACAAGGCGCGACCAAGATCTACTACATCCGCTTCTCCAGTTTGTAGGCTAGATTCGGTACCTGGCAGACAACACAGCACCTCCACGCCAAAGCCACACTGTGCGCTACAGCCTACCAATACACTGCCACCCCTACCTTGACCCTCTCGCGTCGCTTCCTCTTTCGATTTCACAAGCACAAACTCTTTGGTCTGGGCCACTCTACCTTGGTTTTTGGCCTGATTCTCGTCGACTTTTCTTTCGCTCATTATCAAATCACCCACTCGCTTGCTCATGTTATAACCCATCCTCGCAGTCATGCGTTTATCCTCCTTTTGGCGCTGCGCTGCCGCCGTTGCTGGTAAGCTTGTGCCCCCCTTTGAGCACAACGGCCCCCTCCAATCGCTATACGTGTTCTGCCCGCGTCGCAAAATCCATCCTGCCAGTTGCATCAAATCGTCCAGAATACTAACAAATTGACTCGGTAGCCTTGGTTCCCTCGCTTGCGACCGCCGAAGATGCAGATAACCCGAGCGGCCAGTCCACCTTTGTCTCCCCCGATAAGGATTTAGGCTTCGCCTTCACCATTGGCAACGAGGATGTCAACGACTACTTTGTGACGATGCGCCTCAAGACCACGCGCTCCTGGGGCGCCATTGGTCTCGGCAGCCACGACATGGCCGGCGCTCTCTACTTTGTCATGTATCTCAACGAAAAGGGCGACAATGTCACCTTTTCCCCGCGCCTCGCCTACGGCAACTACGAGCCGTTCTTTTACGATTCCATGCGTTGGGAGCATTTGCCCGGCACCCGCGTCCAGGACGGCTACGCTACGCTCTCATTTCGCTGCATCGAATGCCAGAACTGGCCCGGCGCCGACTCGGGCAAGGGCTACCTCGACCTCAACTCCAACAGCCAAAAATCCATCTGGGCCCTCGGCCCCCGCCAGAAACTGCACTCCGACGACCAAAAGGCCGCCCTCCGCTATCATGAGTCCCACGGCGTCTTCAGCATCGACATGGCCCGCACAAAGGGCGCCTCCGACACGCCTGTCCTCACAGACAAGTCGGTCGACGAGGGCATCACCCAGGTCGAGCACGCCACCAAGCTGTTTGATGTCAAGTCATCCATGCACGCCGCACTCATGACGCTCGCCATACTGGTCCTCTTTCCGTTGGGCATTGTGCTGCTGCGCGTCGGTCGTTGGGCCAGCTGGCACGGCGTCAATCAGGCCGTGGCTCTTATTATTGTCCTCGCAGGCTTCGGCATGGGCATTGCTACTAGTGCCCACTACAATCGCGTAAGTGGCCAAGATGATGTGTTTCAAACAAGTCAATTGCTAACGCGGGATGTGCATTGCAGTCCAAGAAATTCAACTCGGCGCACCAAATCATCGGCTTCCTCGTTGTTGCTTTCCTGCTCGGACAGTTCACACTAGGGGTCATGCACCATCTCGAATACCGACAGACGCGCGCTCCGACGAAATACGGCAAGATTCACGTGGTGCTCGGCAATGGTGTTCTCCTCCTGGCCGTGTTCAACATGCTATAGTAAGTCGCGATACTTTGCGAACAAGCAGCAAACCCATGATACTAATCTGTATGTCAGCGGCTACTTCTTTGCCATGAACTACGCAGCCGCCCTCGGCCTTTGCATCACCGTCATGGTCCTTTGCCTTGCCGCTCTGTTCTTTAGCATCCGCCAGATTCGCGCCGCTAAGAAACGTCGCATCGCCGCTGCCTTTGGTGCTGCTCAGGCCGCTTCATACGGCGACCGATGGACCGACAATGAGCCCGGCGACACGCGAGGCGATCATGATCCTCTTCCTAACCCCACCGTCAACAAGCCTCCTAGCTCACCGTCGCCGTGGAAGAGCGGCAGCGGCCGCGGGTCTTATGAAGACGAAGGCCACGAATTGGGCTCCCGGACAAACAAGACGTTCTCCTGAGCCAATTTTCTGTTCTATTCTTCAGTGTTATATAATATTCCATCTGTTGTTTTTTTTCGGGGGCTTGGGCGTTTGTGGTGCAGGGGACTTGGCAGCGTCATGTCTACGTACTGCCGTTGACCGGGTGTCGGTTCTTTTCAAATGTGTATCATTGCACCTATATCCAGCATGGCTAACAAGTTGTTGTTTTCGTATTTGGTCAGTGCATCTGGCAACTGTTCTTGACCTGTGGGCGACGTCAATGTCGATGTCTTCTATACTCGGAATATTCTTGCCAATGCGATGCTTTTAATGATATGATGTCTCCTGTCCATGTTGTCTATTCGTCGTCTTCGTCACCTTGTAGCCAGACCTCGTGGCCGTCACCCTCCTTGACGAACAAGCTCGCTAGACATGCGCAAACAGAGACGCCGCTGAGCGCCCACCAGACCAAGCCCACATAACCACGATTCAAGCCGAACCCATACACCGGGCCTCCAACCATGGGCCCAATCGTCCTCGCCGCGCTGCTGACGCTCTGGCCCAGGCCATGCACGGTACCCAGCACACTCGGGTGCGGCGAGCCGTTGTTGATGAGGATGGCCATGCTCGGCAGCGCAAACGTGCGGCCAACGACCTGCACGAATAGTACGCCGCAAATGGCCAGCCACACGGCGACGCCGGCCTTGGCCGCCGGCGGCAGCGCCGTGCTCGGCACCACGGCCAGGTACGGCACGACAAAGTAGGCGAGCGGGAAGCACAGCAGCGACAGCCGCCACGAGCGGAGGGTGCCGAGCCGCGCCGACAGGTTCGGGTACAGAAACAGCTGCATCAGGATGCCGATGACGCCGAGAATAGCCATGGCTAGGCCGACGCGCTGAGGGGGCATGCCCAGGCCGCCGGTGAAGCGGAACGGGAGGCGCGGCGGCAGCGGCGGCGGCGGCAGCGGCGGCTCAGCGGCGGAGGGGTCGTACACGGGCGTGGAGAGGAAGACAAACCAGAGCGCGTTGAAGGTGCCAATGTGGAACGTGAGGAAGAATTGCGCGACAAAGACTAGGATGACGTTGCGGGTAAAGATTTGGCGAAAGGGCAGGCGCTGGGTGTAGCGCGCGCCGCGGCGTCGTGGTTTTGCGCCGTGTCTACCGCCGCGCGTTGAGGACGCCGACGAGGACCGGGCTTCTGCGTCGGACGAGGTCCCGGCAAGCTCGACATCGTGCGTCGAGAGCGCGGCGTACTCGCCGCGGTCAGCATCATCTGCGTGGGCGCGCCGTCTTCCGCGTCGCAGCGCTGCCGCCCAGAGCCGGCGGGCCACCTCAAGAAGACGCAGGCCAAGCCGCAGGCCGAGGTCCGGGCCGGCGTCGCGCAGGGCGTCGAGCGTCTCTTCGATGCCGAGCCACACAGCGAGGGCGGCGGCGCCGAGAAAGACGGCGCTGACAATGTTGGGCAGGGCGTAAGGGTAGGCGCGGAAGAAGCGCACGTGGCCAAAAAGCGAGGGGTAGCTGCCGGCCGGGTCGGAGAGGAGCCCTCCGAGGATGGGGCCGATGATGACGCCGACGTTGAAGGTCATGGGGAGGAGCATAAAGGCGCGGGGCTGGAATTTTTTTTTCCGGACAATTTCGCTGATCCTTTGAATAAGTCAGTAAATTATATTTTCTCTTTTTTTTTT